GCACTCTCAGATGTAGTTGAGCTACAATAACCTTTTTACAATTTTTAGGTTTATGACTATAAATGGACTACTCAGAACTTTTTATATGTCAATTAACAGAGATGTCTTGTTATAAGTATCAGAAAGAAAAAGAACCTTTTTAAACCTCTGAAAGCAAAGACTTTTAAAGATAGACCCTAATCTCCCTAGTCTGGTGGTTTATCTGATTGAAACAGCCAGCGATAGGGGCTTCTTCTTCTTGTTTGATAGTCACAACTGATAGCTGAAACTGCTATTTTGACAGCCACATGTAACTGTTCCCTCTAAAGGGACAGACTTAAGAGTAATTTAAAGTATTTCCAGGGGATGGTGAGGCCAGGTTTGGGCGTAGAAAAAGAGTAGCTGACACTCTTTTGAGCTGGGATTCCAAACAGTGGGGGAAGAAGGCCTTCCAAGGCTCCAGTCTGCCCTGCTTCAGATGTCTACTGATGACAGTTTCTTCATATTTTGAAAAGAACGAAAGGCAAACCAGGCATCCCTATCTATTTGTCTTGCTATGTACCCAACCTAAGGAATCCCTTATATTTAAACCTGTCCAGTGACAGTGGCAGTTAACTGGGGGTGTGAGGAAGTGGTCAGAACCAGGTTTGCCACTCTTAAAGTGTGCCTGGGCCCCTTTCCTCGTCATTCTGTGACCCTTGGACCATACTTAACTATGAGCATTCCTTCTTCAGAACTTCGGTTAGCATATCTCTGAGAATGATGGCTTTCCTGGGAAGATGCTTATTCTGGAAACTTGGTCCTGCAATCCAGCAGCCAACAGAGCCTTGGACAAAACACTGTTGTAAATTGTATTATTTCTCAGGATGAGGGTATTGGAGAAGGGACTGAAGTGTGACTCTATGCACGGCACAAGAACTAAATCTTAACCATATCAAGGGCAGAAAGACAATGAAGATAAAGAGCTTTCCCAGGGTGGGTCTCTAATCCTCAGCAAAATATACCTTCAGGGACAAAAGCTACAATTTTCTCCAATGGCGGCATTGCCAAGCAGAAAATTAAAACAATGATTAAACAACCCAGATATCTGCTTTTTAACATTTATAAAGAAAATGATAGAGAAAATCAAAGGGCAACTGGAAGTACTCCAACAATATTGTTTAGGGCTGACTTTTGAATATTTTTATGACTCTGAATCAAGACGTTCTAAAATCCCAGCCAGCAAAAGAGATCTATCACCTCCAGGGACAGACAGAGGCAAGTAATGGCCCAGAAAAATCCCAGCCTCAGGCCCTAGGGCAAAGAAGTCTCTGAGAAATTTCATGCTGTCTGCCCAGTGACCTGGAAAATGTCCCTTAGCAAGAAGACATGGCTAGGTTTTATTCATAATCCACTCTAAAGATTTCTGTCTCCATATCTGCAATACACTTATGAAACTCACAGGTTGAAGTCTATACATTGCCTAGCAACCACAAATGATACATTAGCAAGAGTACATATGTCAATTTCTTTCCTCCCCTACATACATAAATGATTAGAACCAGATGTAAAAGGGGAAAGAGAGCCAGGATTTGGGGGCCTTTTTGAGACTGTGAGCAAATGAGGGAGTAAAAAGCGCTGGGGATATACAGCTCAGTGGCACAGCGCCTGCCTGGCAAGTGGAAGGTCCTGAGCTCAATTCCTGGTTCCACAAAACAAACAAAGAAAAAATTAAGCATGAACAAATGAGAGAGCAAAAGAGAAAAGGAAAAGCATTGCATTCCTTTCCATTAAAGTCCATAGACTTTACCAAATTTTGTGTTTATAAGAAGCCATTTTATTTTCATTTTATTCCCTAGACTAAATTTTACCTAAAATTCATTTCACAGCATTTTACATATTGAAATTTCAGTTTAGGATTTAAAGTCCATTAGGGGAGCTCCAGTGTTACCTTTTCCCAGCACTGCTGCCTAAAATAAGACCACCGCCTACCTCACAACTGCCAAACAATTCAAGAAAGGAATGCAAGTAAATTCAGCAATAAGTCTAAATGCAGCATATACAAAATAGAAACACAAGGCACTGCCTGTAATAAATAAAAATGTCTCATCAAAGAAACCTAAATATGAAGACCTTGCAATATTCCCTGCTCTCAGCTTCTAACACAGCTCAAGTAAACAACAAAAGGCACAAACAACCAGAAAACAATGGGTGCCCATTTTAGATTACCCGAATGAGTTACAATCCAGAATCCAGTGAAAAATATTTAGGGGTGTCATGAAATAAAAGCAAACTTGCACCTCCTTCCAAAGATCTCAGTGGGACCTCTGATATATGAGAGGTATAACTCCCAACTTGGTAGATGTCAGATGTGCTGAGTTTGTGTCCCCTGAAATCAAAGAATGCATTCCAAAGTACAAAGGGGTTTAAGAGAAAGAAAAGTTTATTGGGCAATAGGAATGGGGAATAAAAATAGCTCCTGAGCTGGGGATAAAGCTCAGTGGCATAAGCGCCTGCCTGGCAAGTGCAAGGTCCTGAGTTCGATTCCCGGTAGAAAATAAATAGCTCCTGAGAGACAGGAGGGGTCCAGAGTGAATTGCCCTGAAGCATTTTCAGTTGATGTGATCCCAGTTATTGATTCTTTGTAATACTTCCAGTACAGTTGGGATTTTTGTTCATAAGGTCTTTGCCTACAACTATGTCTTCTGGAGTTTTACCTATTCTATCTTCCAGCAGATGAAGTACTTTTGTTTTTATATTTAGATTTTTGATCCTTTTTGATTTTACTTTCACACCTGGTGAAAGATAGGGGTCTAGATTCGATTTTCAGCATGTGGAAAACCAGCAAAATTTACTAAGGAAGCTATCTTTTTTCCAGTGAAGGTGTTTGGCCCCTCTGCCAAAGATAAGGTAGTTCAGTGTGCGTGGAGTTGGTTCTTCATCTTCCACTGAGTTCCACTGATCCTTGGGTCAGGTTTAGTTTTTGGCCAGTATCATACTGAAGGTTTGTAGTATAACTTCAGATTGAGGATTGCGATGCCTCCTGCCTTGCCATTTTGCCCAGAATTACTTTTACTTCTCTAGGTCTCTTCAAATTCCATATGAATTTCAGGGTTGTCTTCTCCAGTTTTGTGAGGTATGCCGTGGGTATTTTGCTTGGAATTGCTTTAAATCTGTATAAGAGTTATAGAAATATGGCCATTTTCACTGTACTGGTTCAATCTAGCCAAGAACAGGGGATATCTTTCCATTTTTTGATATATCCTAACTCCTTTATCAGAGTACAGTAGGTTTCAACATACAGGTCTTTCATTCTTTAGTTAGACTCATTACTAAATATTTCATTTTTCTTTATGCTATTGTGAAAGGTGTTGTTTACATAAATCCTCTCTCAATGAGTTTGTTATTAGTGAACAAAAATTCTTCTCAAAGGAAGTTTCATAGAGCAAAATCATGAGGTGGATACAGTGTGGGTCAAAACTATGATCAACCAATAGGATTACAGGTACAGAGCCACTTAGGTAATGTTGATTTAATGGGGAAGCAGGTCATGTAACAAGTGTACATAGAAAGAACAAAGACCTTTTCAGGAAGGGGTAGATCAGGGAGTCTTGGTCACCCACTAGGGTCACTGATGTCTGCCTAGACTTTATTGGACCAAGTGAGTTTATTTATTTATTTACTTATTTATTGTCTTTTTTGAGACAGGATTTCACTATGCAGTTCAGGGTGGCCTTGAACTCACTTTGTAGCCCAGGCTGGCCTCGAACTCACAGCGATCCTCCTGCCTCAGCCTCCCGAGTGCTGGGATTACAGGCATGTGCCACCACACTTGGCTGGACCAGATGAGTTTAAAATTCAATTTATTGCTTACCCTCAGGGAGGCATGTAAGACAGGTCATGCCATCTTTATATTGAGGCCTGGCCTTCAACAGATGTGTCTCTAGCCACAGTTGTGATGTGCTCTCATCTTCTGCACTGACTCCCTTGAGGGTCTAACCCTGTCTGACTGCCTATAATATTTCTACCTACCTTAGCTGTTTATAATAATATGCCTGCAAGACATTGAACAAAGCTACAACGTAGTTTGAGTCCTTGGATGTCTTCTAAGGTCATTTAAAATTTATTATGGCATTGAAATTACTGCTAATGATGCAACATTGCATTTTAGTGTTTGCCCTCAGAGTATTTAATGGGAACATAGACATTCAAGTGTTCCTACCCACTTCAAGTTAGCATATGCAGTTTTTAAACTGAGAGACCTTTTCATTTGCATTATGAGCTGGATGAAACAATGTATGAACCTTTAAAACTGAATGGGATTACAATTCTCAGTTGCAATTCTTATCATTCAATCCAATTTAAACTGTCTACATTATTACAGCTAATAGTGTACAGAACTGGAACGTGAGGTACAAACAGAAATAAATGGTGTGAATAACATCTATTCCAGTGAACAAACAAAAAAAATGAAAATAAAAAGCCAGATCAAACACCAAGGCTCAAGTCCTGCCAAAGGTCTGGTTGCTCTTATCTGTATTCATATTTAAATCAAGTATTTAAAAGAAGCACAGTAATAGTGGATCTGAAATGCTCTCATAATCCTCATGGTAACGTGTATACTGTAGGACCCAGCCAATAACCATAAGCAGCTTTAGTGGTGAAGCACACTTGTGAAGCTATGTATTGTGGGGGACAGTCTCTTCAGCAGCCTGCCGGGCGTTTTTACTTCCTCCTTCAGTAACACAAGTTATCTTGAAGATGCAGTTACTGAAGTATAATTTCTTTGCCAACTCACAAAATCTGAAAACATAGGCTCTAGGTATGTAACATACTCTCAGCTGCTCCTGGCTCTACCGATCACCCAAAGAGCCCAAGGCAGAAGCCCCCCTCCCCCGCGCCCCAGCAACTGGGTCCTCCAGGCTACGTGTAGGAATACAGGCAGCGGGGGTGGACTCAAACAGTTAACAAGCAGCCTGCTGAAGAGTGGCAGAGAGAACGGCCAATAGGGTGTTTACGCAAGCAGTACGTATGGTGTGAGTGGGTGTTAGACAAAGCTTGAGAAAGGGAACCATCGTCGGCCTGAGGGTGAGAGGGCACCCGGGGTTACAGATTTGGAGGAGGGGGAGGAGGGGGACGGGGAGAGAAAGGAGAGGAAGGGGAAGAAGGGGGAAGGAGGGGAAGAGGAGAGGACGAGGAGGCTGAGAAAGCACGCAAGCATCAGTCCTTAATCCCCATTCTCCCTTATTCTCAGGGTGCGGTAGCACAGGGACAGCCTGGAACCTGGTGTATGGCCACGGAGTTACAGCATCCAGACTCCATGCCTTGTCACAACCAGCAAGTGAACTCTGCTTCAACCCCAAGTCCCGAGCTGCTGCGACCTGGAGATCCGATCCCGGATCTTACCGGGGGAAATAGCGCTGCTGTGGCTAAACTGACTCTCCTCACTGTGCACGCCTATTCTAGCGTGCCGGCTGAGTGTGATTCTCAGGCCTGTGGCACCACAAGCCTTAACTCTGAGAGCGGCAGCGATATTTGTAACAGTAGCAGCTATGAAGCGCCTGCTGGCGACTCCCACCCAGGAGACTGTGAAGTATCCCAACAGATAGGGTCGCAGCTGAAACTTCTGCCTATGAATGATCAGATCCGAGAGCTGCAGACCATCATCCGGGACAAGTAAGTCAAGAGCAGAAGGGGAAAGGAAGGCTGCACAGAGAAAGGTCTGCCAGGGGTGGGTGGGGGATTGGAAATAAAAAACCTACGGAGTAGTGTTCTTGCCCTTGAGGAAATGATCTTTGGAGAGATTAGGGCAGGGCCTTTTCTTTGAGGAATATGTTCCAGGGGGATCATGTGACACGCACTTCCAACCCTTTCCTAGTTTCTAATTTGCTAGGTAGACCTGGTCTCTCCAGGCCTGTTTGTCTGTGTGAGCAATGACGAATCCTCAGCCATTCCTAGGAGGTAAACGCCCTTATGCTTGTCTACGTGGGAAATTTATACCCCAAAATGGTTACTACCTATGACTTTGCATTACCAGGAAACACCACAGGTTCACAGATAAAAATACTGTAGTTTCAAGGAGATGCTGTTGTACTGCACTGCCCCTCTGACCCTTCACTATTTGCTACTGCAAAAATGTCATTTTGTTTGAGATGTAGGATTTCAAATTTACCTGATCACATGAAAGCATATAACCCAATTCTTACCGATTGCTTTACTGTAAACTTACAGAACATAGATAGCAGAGGTGAAGGAGCCTTTCGCCCCGGCTCATCTCACAAACCCTTGTAGCCTGAACTTCATGTTAAAATGCTGTTTTGAAATTGCTTTTTGAAAATCCATGTCAGATGGGGGAAGTATGTACCATAATGAGCTGCAGCTGTTTTTTTTTTTTTTTTAATTATTTGATTGCACTTTTCTCTCCTTTTTGAGAAGGGGTCTTGCTGTGTTGACCAGGCTAGAATCCAACTCCTGGGCTCAAGTGACATTTCTGTCAGCTTCCCAAGTAGTTGGGACTATGGATGTGCACCTTTGCACCTCATTTCTACTGGCTGCACTTTAAGTGAGTAGCTGCAGCATGTCAGAACACCCCAATTTTCAGTGGTGAGGCATACCTTAATAAAGATGGGTACTGTGTGACAGAATGCCACTCTCTAAATCAGATTCTAGTAATTTTTCTTCATACTATTATAATAGGCTTCTAATTTGTTTCCTCACCTGTAGTTTTTCTTTTTCACAGCAGCCTTCTGACGTCTCAGAGCCTACCTTATTTGCTACTTTATTTAGTCTTGAACTCTTACTTTGATATTTAGCCCCCTCCTCATGGTTCCCAGGAACTATGCTGTTTTTTTTTTTGTCTTTTTGAGAGAGGGTCTCACTATGCAGTTCAGGCTGGCCTGGAGCTCACTTTGTAGCCCAGGCTGGTCTCGAACTTGCAACGGTCCACCTGCCTCAGCCTCCTGAGTGCGGAGATTACAAGCATGTGCCATCACGCCCAGCACTCCCAGGAACTATTCTGAAAGGTCCTTGCTCCTGCTCTTATGTGGAATCCCCTATATCCTCCCTATTCATGTTCAGATCCTCCCTATTTTTCTTTTTTCTTTTTGTTTTGTCTTTTTGAGACAAGGTTTCACTGTGCATGCAGTTCAGGCTGGCCTTAAACTCACTTTGTAGCCCCGGCCGGCCTCAAAACTTGCAAGGATCCTCCTGCATCAGCCTCCACAGAGATGGGATTACAGGCTTGTGCCACCACACCCGGCTCTCCCTATTTTTCAAGGTTAAACACAGTTTTAAACATGCACCTTTGCCAAGAAAGTTCCTTTTAATCATTCCTGGCTGATCTTCAGTGGCCTTTTTAATGCAAAATTAAGCTTCTATTTTCTATATTGATACTTGTGTGTTGATCTTATCTTGCCTATTAGGTTTTAGGCTCTTTGAAGGCAGAATCTACTACATCTTTGAATTTCAACCATGCCTTGCAGGTAATAGATGCTCAATTACTAAAGATTCTGTATAGCCCTTAAAAATCATGTTTTAAGTATGAATCTATACCATTTAACTGTTTACAATGAATCAGTGTGGAAAACTTCTGTGGTCATGTGATGTAATAAATACATGAAACAGTGATTTGTAGAAGTATGAAACTTAGGCTTGTTTGGTAGTGGTGATGTGAACAGCTAAAATCAAATATTTGTGAAACAAAATAGGATTGATGATTCTTATTTCTGTAGAGCAAGAGTTAACTAACCTTGAGTCTTGGACTCCACTGTTCCAGTAGATGAGTTTCAGGGCCTTAGTGAGCCTCCAGAAGGTACCTGGAAAATTTTATCTGTATGTATGTTTTTAGTGGTTTAATATCTTAAGCCAAGCGTGGTGATGCATGACTGTAGTCTCAGCAGTCTAGGAGGCTAAGGCAGGAAGGAGGTTCCCGAGGTCTAGCCCAACATGGGCAACTTAGCAACTTGAGAGACCTTGTCTCAAAAAAAAAAAAAAAATTGAAAGGGCTGGTAATATAGCTCAGTGGAAAGGCCCTAGGTTCAACTCCTAGTACCACAAAACAAAAATCTTCATTGAGGTATAATTCATATACCAGAGAATTTGGGTATTGGTACACACTGGCTGTGTACCACCACATATCACAGTCAGTTTCAAAACATTTTCATCACTCCAATAAGAAATCTACCCATTAGCAGTCATGCCCCATTTCCCTCTGACCTTCCCAAAACCCGGGAGAATAACCACTCTACTTTGTTGTCCCTATTGATTTTCCTATTTGGATATTTCCCTTTTAAAAGTTAGTTTTTGAATTAACCATGAAAATATTTTATTTTTCTCCAGTTTTTTAATTAGTACGTGCTTGTATTACATAATGGTTACATTCCTTGTGGGGGGCTGGTACGTACGTGTATATAACACATCTCAATTCTTTTTTTCATCCCCTTTCTTTCCCCTCCCTGCCCCCTTCATCTCTTGATCCCCTTCCCATTTGTAAAAGCTCTAGCTCCCTACCTCTTATTATCTATCTCATAATTTGATCTTTATTTGTATTTTGGATTTCTCGTGTAAATGAAATTATGTGATATTTAAGCTTGTGTGTCTGATTTATTTTACTTAACATTATGTTCTCAGGGTGCATCGATTTTCTTACAAATGATTCAAGTTTATTCTTTATTGAGAGTAGTACTCAATTGTGTTGAACAGCACATTTTCTTTCTCCATATATCTGTTCATGGACATATAGGCTGCTTTAAATTTATTTTTAACAGATAAATAAAACATAAAATTGCACCAATTAATAGGTACCATGTAATATTGAATACACATATATATTGCATAGTTTTTTTGGGGGGTGGTATGGGGAATTGAACTCAGGACCTTGTACTTGCCAGGCAGGTGCTGTGCTACTGAGCTATATCTCCGGCCCTATTACATAATGTTTAAATCAGGTTAATCATATTTATCTCTTCCAACGTTGATCATTTCATGATGAAAACTTTCAAAATCTTTTCCTCTATCTTTTTGAAATATATAGTACATTGTTGTAATCTATAATTACCCTCCAGTGCAATGCATATTCAGAACTCACTCCTATGTAACTATAACTTAGTACCCATTGCTCTACCCTAATTCTTTCCTCCCTGCTACTCTTCCCCTCCTCTACTAACCACTGTTCTACACTCAACTTCTATGAGATGAACTCACGTGATATTTGTTATTATGAATGTTTCAAATAAAAGGAATCATACAATATGTGATCCTTTTGTGACTGCTTTTTTTAATGTAATGTTTTCAGGGTTCACCCATGTTTTATCAATATATCATTCCATTTTAGGGCTGAATAGTGTTATATGGAAATACTCCAATTTGTGGGTGGTTTTCATTCTTTGGATACTATGAATAATGCTGCTATAGATATTTGCTTATGTTCTCTTTTATGGGGTGAGGATCCTTTTATTAGATTTCACAAATGGTTATAATAATGTGTAGGTTAAGAACCGTTACTATAGAACTTGCAGAGAGCATGACATTCAATATTTATATGTGGGAATATCTGTGTATGCCTCATTATTCTTCATTACTAAAAAAACCTGAATTATACAGTAAACCTGGATATAAGTGGAGTCTTTTGTTTTATTCTACATTTGGTAGGATCCAGAAGAGCAATCTTAGGCCAGATATTTATAATTTCTGTACTTTAGCTTTATCACTTGTAAAATGAAGTTGTTGGTACTGCCTCATGGTGCTCCTGGGAGGCTAAAATGAGTTACTGTCAGTGAACATTTTTTAGAAACTGTGAAGAGTTTTGCAGATTTAAGGCAGTTCAGCCCTTCAAGTTTGGATTTGTGCATACTTCTTAGGACAGTTAAAGGAATTTGACTAAAAATGGAACTCACATTCTTATTTTGAAAACCAACACTGACAGATCCTAGATAATTTTTATTCTGCTTCGATGTAGTACAGAAAGTACCACCACTTTTTGTATATGGTACTGGGGATTGAAACTAGACCTTGCACATGTTAAGCAAGCACTCTACCACTAAGCCATACATCAGCCCTGCTACTACAATTTATGATGCTTATGTAAACTAGGGATAGTGTTTTTTGTTAACTAAATTCATTAGCGGAGGCTGTCTCTTCTGTCTTTTATCTGCAAAAGATTGTTATCCTCCCACACCAAGAAGTCCTGTTGCAGCCTCTATAGGGGGTTCCTATGGTAAGATGAAATATATTTACACACATCTAGTTTTGGAAAATATCACTGATTACCATGTTCTCTTTCTGGCATACGTAGTTGTCTGCTAATAGTAGCAACTGGAGTACATGTTGTTTGTTTTATTGTTCCTGACCCTTAGCATCCATCTAGTTAGTGGAAGAATTGCTTTATGAATTGACTTTGACATGGAGAAATTGGAATTGATCCAGCTGGACTGCAGGAAAGATTGAGAACAAGTACTAGAGGTTTAAAATGACTTTTTGAGGAGTACAATATTTGAAACATAGACTGTATTATTAAATTCTGAGGAAATTATTTCTTCTCTGTGACAGTGCAGTAGTCTAATACTGAATGAACAGGTAATTTACTCAGCTATGCATACGTGGGTCACTTGTGAACTAGCAAAATGAAATGACTCCTTAATTTCCTTTTGATTCTTTGGTTTTGAGGGGTTTTTTTGGTG